AGTTGGGATCCTATGAGGAGTGTGTACAGCTCGCCAAAGGGTGTGGAGGGGGAGAGAGGGGGGTCATTAACTGTCAACTAAAACCATTCTTCCCACCTAATTTGCAGTTATTTTCCCAAGAAAGAAACCCATTATCATTTTAAAAACCTAAAAATCTTTCTCAGCAAGAATTAACACCCTCCCCGTCCTGCAAAAAGAACCCCCAAAGCCTACATTTAAATGGCAGTATTTGTAGTCATATTTGAGTAAGCTGAATTGTTGGAGGGGCGCACGGCAGAGGACCCCCAGCACACAATGGCCCCCTGACGCCTGCTCCAAGGACCAGAACTACAAGCTGTGGCCCCATCACTCAAACCTGCTGTGTGGTGGGTGTGGGACGCTTTCGGCATCTGAAGAAGATAATATAACAAACGCCCCTGCTGTTATTAAATTAATAAATAAATGAGAGTGGGAAAAAGCCAAGCTTAACATAGATTTCCAATTCTATTCTGCATTTAAATCCATGGCCCCTTTTTAAACTGGAGATCTATGAAACTTTTAACTTTCTAATCATCACTAACAGGAATTCTCAATTCTCAGCCAGTTTTCCAAGCAAGCTACAGTCGGTGGTCCAAATTATTTTCGATTCTTGAAGGTCTAATTTTATTTTATTTATTTATTTTTTTGAGACAGAGTCTCGATCTGTTGCCCAGGCTGAAGCGATCTCATCTCACCGCAACCTCTGCCTCCCGGGGTTCAAGTGATTTCCCTGCCTCAGCCTCCCAAGTAGCCGAAACTACAGACACACGCCACCACACCTGGCTAATTTTTGTATTTTTAGTAGAGACGGGATTTCACCATGTTGGCCAGGCTGGTCTGAGACTGCTGACCTCAAGTGATTCACCCGCCTCAGCCTCCCGAAGTGCTGGGATTATATAGGTGTGAGCCACTGCACCTGGCCAAGATCTAATTTTAAAATAAGGAAAAGCAAACATCTCCCATCTATTTCCCTCCCTTCATCTCGCACCATTGTGAATGGCTCCCAAAGGCCTGTGCGGGGAGCAGCTGCCATCACCACCACCTTGGAGAGCTATTAGAAATGCAAATTCTCGGGTAACACCCCAGACCGGCAAAATTAGCTTGGGAAGTGGGGCCCAGTAAGTGGAATCCTCACATGCCAGCGCTCCTGGGGATGCCCAGGAGCCTCGGCTTCGGGGTTGGGTCACACTGCCCAGGTTCGTGTGCGAGGTAAGCAAGAGTACAGAACTCTCCAACTTCTCGAGACTTGTTCCGCTCTATAGAGTAGAACTGCAGACTCGTTAAAAAGATTAAATAAGAAAAATGCTGCCCACCCAAAGCGCTCAAGAGCCACAGCTGGCACCGAAGACACTCAGTGTTAGCAGCACCACAGGCAAGGCACTAGGACAATGCCAAACGGGAAGGGAAGTGGGGGGAGAAAGAAAAAGGAGGAAAAGGCTTCTTGTCCCTGCCCCTTGGAGCTTAACACCCAGTGGAGAGGCCACATGCAAAGAAAAATAAAGGTGCCCTTTGCCGGACATGGTGACGCATGCCTGTTAATCCCAGCTACTCGGGAAACCGAGGCAGGAGAATCGCGTGAACTCGGGAGATGGAGGCTGCAGTGAGAAGGAGAGAAAGAGGGAGTAAGGTAGAAAAAAAGCAAGGAAGCGAGGAGCGGGGAGGGAAGGAAGGAAAGGGAAGGAGGAAGGAGAATGAAGGTGCCCTGTGAGGAAGAGGGGCACACAAGTTGACTGGGAGACTATAAGAGAAGACCTCAGGCTGGTGCGGTGGGTCACGCCTGTAACCCCAGCACTTCTGGAGGCCAGGCAGGTGGTTCACTTGAGGCCAGGAAGTCGAGACCAGACTGGCCAACATGGTGAAACCCTGTCTCTATTAAAAACGACAAAAATTAGCCAGGCGTGATGGCAGTCCCAGCTACTCAGGAGGCTGGGACAGGAGAATTGCTTGAACCCAGGAGGCGGAGGTTGCAGTGAGCCAAGATCAGCCACTGCACTCCAGCCTGGGTGATAGAGTGAGACACTCTCAACAACAACAGCAACAACCACGAAAGAGAGAAGACCTTAAGAAGTGGCTGCATAGGAGCAAGAAAGATTTCCATAGCCTGAAAAAAGTCATTCCATGCAAAAGACCAAGATCTCAAGAAGCAGGAGAAATGAAAGCCAAGGCAACAGCCCCCGAAAAATCCTGTAGTAAGAAATAAAATCGGCCGGGCGCGGTGGCTCAAGCCTGTAATCCCAGCACTTTGGGAAGCCGAGGCAGGCGGATCACGAGGTCAAAAGATCGAGACCAGCCTGGCCAACACGGTGAAACCCCGTCTCTACTAAAAATACAAAAATTAGCTGGGCATGATGGCACATGCCTGTAATCCCAGCTACTCAGGAGGCTGAGGCAGGAGAATTGCTTGAACCTGGGAGGCAGAGGTTGCGGTGAGCAGAGATTGTGCCACTGCACTCCAGCTAGGCGCCTGGGGACAGAGTGAGACTCTGTCTCAATAAATAAATAAATAAATAAATAAATAAATAAATATCGGTCATCCCACACCCTAGGCTTCAACTCTGGGACCCAGCCTCCGCAGGGCCCTCTACCTGCGTGTTCTCATTTGCAAACTAACTTCCCCTTTTGTTCCCTGAAGGCCTGGAGACTTCTCCTCTGCACTGTTGGCTGATCAAGCCATTGTCTGCAGCAAGGTTGAATTTAAATGAGCAGAGGCCCAGAGTGGTGGCAGGCTAGTACTCCCACCACTTTCGGAGGCCTAAACGGGAGGATCACCAGAGGCCAGGAGTTCCTGACCAGCCTGGGCAGCACAGGAAGACCCCATCTCTTTAAAAAATATTAAAAATTAGTCAGGCATGACCGGGTGCAGTGGCTCCCACCTGTAATCCCAGCACTTTGGTGGGAGGCCGAGGCGGGCGGATTGCTTTGAGCTCTGGAGTTGCAGACCAGCCTGGCCAACATGATGAAATGCCATCTCTACTAAAAATACAAAAACTAAGGCCAGGCTCGGTGGCTCACGTCTGTAATCCCAGCACCTTGGGAGGCCAAGGCAGGTGGATCACCAGAGGTCGGGAGTTTGAGACCAGCCTGACCAACATGGAGAAACCCCGTCTCTACTAAAAATACAAAATTAGCTGGGCGGTGTGGCACATGCCTGTAATTGCAGCTACTGGGGAGGCTGAGGCAGAAGAATCACTTGAACCCGGAAGGCAGAGGTTGCAGTGAGCCAAGATCGTGCCACTGAACTTCAGCCAGAGCAACAAGAGCAAAACTCCACCTCAAAAAAAAAAAAAAAAAGTAGCTGGGCACGGTGGCACGTGCCTGTAGTCCCAGCTATCTGGGAGGCTGAGACAAGAGAATCGGCTGAACCCAGGAGACAGAGGTTGCAGTGAGCCAAGACTGCGTCACTGCACTTCAGCCCGGGCAGCAACTGCAAAACCCCATTTCAAAAAAAAAAAAAAAAAAAATTAGCCCCGCATGGTGGCAGACAACTGTAATCCAGCTACTCAGAAAGCTGAGGCAGGAGAACCGCTTGAACCCGGGAGGCACAGGTTGCAGTGAGACAGGATCTTGCCACTGCACTTCAGCCTGGGTGACACAGCAAGACTCCATCTCAAAAAAAAACAAAAAACAAAAAATAATTAGCTGGGCATGATAGCATGTGCCTGTAGTCCCAGCCACTAGGGAGGCTGAAGCAGGAGGATCACTGGACCCCAGGTGCTGGAGGCTGCAAAGAGCTATGACCTATGATTGTGCCACTGTGCTTCAGCCAGGGCAACACAGAGAGACCCTGTTTCTAAAAGAAAAACTAGGCCAAACTGGGTGGCTCACAACTGTAATCCCAGCACTTTGGGAGGCCAAGGTGGGACGATCGCTTGAGTCTCTAGGGGTTAGAGACCAGCCTGGGCAACACAGTGAGACCGAGTCTCTAGAAATAATTTTTTAATTTTTTGTAATTTTTTTTTTTAAAGAGGTAAGTCGGCAAGAGTCGCGCATCCGCAAGAGTGGACACTACTCCAGCACCCCCACATCTGAACATCACCCGCCGCAAAGGAGCGCAAAATCGTAACTTAGGAAGGACAAAATTCACTACAGGAAAAGGCAAAACTTGGATTCAGAAAAAGTGGAGGAGTAAGGGAGCGGCAAGGGACAGCTATTTCCATTTCATTTTCCTTCTTCCCCTGCACTCCCGTCGTCCGGGTGCTGGCCGAACCCAGACGGCTTAATTTTCATGGCCTAAAGCTGAGGTTTTCCTTCCGGTCATTGTGTTTATTTCCCCCAAAGAACAGGCCCGGCGGGGCAGGCGCGCCGGGTCGGCCCGGGACAAAGCCCACTGCGGGCTCCACCTGGGAGCGGAGCGGGGCGGGGCGGGGCGGAGGGGGCGGGGCTCCCGCTCCCCCGCCCGCCGCAGTTACCAGGCAACGCGCGGCCCCGCCCCCGCGCCGGTCGGCCAATCCCGCGCGTCTGCTGCCCCGGCGCAGGAGCCCCAGATACACCAGGCGAGCGCGACCCCACGGCGGCTCGGGCCTGGCACCGCGCGCGCCCCCGCACCGCCCAGCCGGCCAATCAGCGCGGCGGGGCATGCGCAGCCCGCGGGGCCGCTCGCTCGCTCGCGCGCGGGACCGCACGCGCGAGGCGCCCCCCCACCCCACGCCGGCCGGCGCGCGCGCCCCTCCCCCACGCGCACCCAGGCGCGCGCGTGCCACTGTCGTCCCCCGCGACCGCGTCCGTGCCGCCCCACCCCCATCGCCTCGTCTCGGCCACTGCCAAGGCCGGCGGGGGCTCGAGGCCCGGCGAGGCGGTGGGGGTGGGGGGAGGAGGCAGGGGCGCCCCCCAAAGCCCCACACCGCGCGCGCGGCCGGCCGCGGCTCCCGGGGCCCTGTCCCTGCGGGCCCCGGCGGGGCAAAGTCTCCAATAAAGGCCCCGCGCTCGCAGTGGCCCCCCGAGATGGGGGCAGAGGGCGCGGGGATGAGGCGAGAGGGACTCACCCGAGTGCGGCCGCCTCCAGGCAGCGCCGGGGACGGGGGTGCCGAGGGGAGGCGAGTGTGGGCCGCGCGCGCGCTACGGCCGCCGCGGAGCAGCCTCGGCGGAGGGGAGCTGGCGAGCGGGCGGGAGGCGAGGGGGCGAGGGGCCCGTGCTTGTCGGCCGCGCTCCTGTCACCGCCGCATGGCCGCCCTGCAGGCAGGGCCTCTCTCAGCGCCTTGATCCGATCACTGGGGGACAGAGGCAGAGGCCGGGGTGACCGCGGCAGGCGGGCAGCCGCGGCTGGAGAGCGCGTGCGGGCAAGCGGGGGGGCGACCGGTGGCCCCTTTTCTCTGCTCTCCCAGCTTCTCTCTCACCCTCCTCCTCCTCCTTTTTTTTCTTTTTTTTTTTCTTTTTTTTTTGTTCCTCGAAGGCGCGCTGCGCGTGCGCACCCGCAGCGCCGCCCAGCGGGAGTTGTAGTTTCAGATGCGTTCCCCGTCAAGGCGGCGGCGGGGGCTGGGGACTACAGCTCCCAGGAAGCACCGCGCCGGCGAGCCCCGAACCCGAGGACGAGGCGAGCGCGGCGCCCGGCCCTCTCCGGCAAGGGCTGTCAATGGAGGCGAGGGTGGTGGGAGCGAGAACATGGCTGCACCTGGGGCCTGCGCGGCCGACCGGGTGGGGGAGGGGAGCCGGGGTGCACGGACGGAAATCGGGACCGGTGGCGGCTCCGGCTTCGTTCCCGCCGCGCGCCGGCCGCCGGCCGAGTCCCCCACTTGCGCTTGCACCCCACATTCCTTGCAAATTGCGAAGCCGGGACGCTGCCGAAGCCGGGGAGCCCCGGGCCGGCCCGTCGCCCTCCGTGCTCTGCCGACGGGAGTCCCTCCGCCCCGCGCCACCCTTCGGGACACAAAGAACTCCTCTCTCGTGTTTTCCAAGCTGGCCTCCAAAGAGACCGTTGCCCCCAGGTTGGGACAGGCGAGCGGGGAGGGGACTTTGTGTTTTAATGCCGCCCTGGACCTCCGCCTCCGCCTCTCCCTCAGGATTTGGAAGGAAAGTTGCAAGGGAGTGGGAGCAGAAATCCTGACCCGTAGCTCCCGTTGTGTTCCGTCGGCCGCGAGGCGATTTAACTCAAACTTGTCCCCCAACCGTGATTTTTACGCTTCTCAACTTGCACTAGCCGGTGGGTTTTGAAAATGGTGAGACATGACGGTTCGCCTAAGTTAAACTCCAAAACTTTACAACCCCAAGGCCGGAGATTTTTAGATGTTTATGTAAAGCACGAGATGGAGTGATTTCATGATGCCCCCCACCCAGTACCACCCACTGGGGATTCGGGCCACGCCGGCCATCCTTCCCCCACCCGCCGCTTCTCGGTAGGTGGCGATCACGACGCTTTTTCCAGCCTCCAAGCCTTTGTCGCTCGCGAGAAAACTTTCCGAGCAGCCAGTCTTTTGATGTGGGTCCAAAAAAACCTTTCTTTGGAATCTGGGTTCTCCGATTGGCATTCCCCATCGTCTCTCTCGCACAGACCGCACCCAGTAAAGCCTCTAGAAGCTTTATGTTGGATTTCTTTTAAAATACATGGAGAGCGCTAAGCTCACCGGAGAAGCAATGTGATTACAGAAGCCTGCATTTTTGCGATCTCTCCCCCACAATATGTAGGATCCCTTCGGTCCTCGGCTAATACGATTTTGACTCTCCTTTGTCGATTGTCCCGAAAGCCATTCATTAAGTTTGCACAAGAGCAACTTTCTTTTTGCACTTGTATTTCATTGACATTTAGGAATATTTAATTAAATTCTCTATTTCCAATACCACGTGCCACTGACATATATTTAGGAACAGATTTAACTCGTGAGAAGCCTGTAACTCACTCTAGTACGAGCAGCCAGCCTACAGGATACAGATTTCAGCTGCTGAGCACTTCAGTGAGTATGCTTTGTGGGGAGAGTGGCTTCTCCACCTGGAGGGATCAGGAAGAGGATTCCCTGGGTATTGTGGAATTGAATCATGGAGTAGAATTTGGTAGAGCATTACAAAGTGAGTCAGGATGGCAGAAGTTCATTTAGCCAAGATGGACCTTATCGTCATGAAAACGTTTGGAAGGTAGTCCGTTTCTTCTATGAATTTGTTTAGTGGTTCAGAGTGGATTTTTTGTTTTTGAAACAGTGTCTTGCTCTGTCGCCCAGGCGGGAGTGCAGTGGCACGGCACGCTCTCAGCACACTGCAACCTCCCGAGTTCAAGCGATTCTCCTGCCTCAGCCTCCCGAGTAGCTGGGATTACAGGCAGACCGTGCCCGGCTAATTTTTGTATTTTTAGTAGAGATGGGGTTTCACCATGTTGGCCAGACTGTTCTCAAACTCCTGACCTCAAGTGATCTGCCTGCCTCAGCCTCCCAAAGTGCTGAGATTACAGGCGTGAGCCACCGTGCCCGGCCCACAGTGGAATTTTGCTGCCTCTTCATAAACAACTCCAACTTCTTTGAGATTGAAGCAATTCCTAAAACGGTTAGGTCAACATTAGCTGGTTTTGAATTACCTCTAGTCAGAAAACTGTCTCTGTTGAGGCAGTGTGTATGCAGGCAAGCGTTTTTCTGCGCATTTTGCCATTAAGGCTTCTAATCCTCAAATTCATGTGTTGCAGTCATAAATCTTTTGCATTTTCTGTCTTCATTAAGGTCTTGCTTACCAACTGGCAGCTTGTTGGAACTCTTGTCACTATTCATTGACCCATTTTTCCGTCTTAGTGGTATAGATGCTACATTAATTGTGGCCATTGTTATAAATCACTGGATACCATCTCTCTGCAAAGCTAGGGTTTTGTTTTACTTTTTTTTCCGTTTTTGAGACAGGGTCTCACTGTTTCATCCAGGCTGGAGTGCAGTGGCTCGATCACAGCTCACTGCAGCCTCCAACTCCAGATGCAAGGGATCCTCCCGCCTTAGCCTTAGTGCCTGGGACAACATGTATGTGCCACCATACCCAGCTAATTTTGTTTTTTGTAGAGATGGGTCTCACTATGTTGCCCAGGCTAGTCTTGACTTCCTGAACTCAAATGAGCCTCCTGCCTTGGCCTCCAAAGTGCTGAGGTTATAGGTGCAAGGTACTGCATCGGGCCCAGGTTTATTTCAAATACAGGATCAGATTGCTCCTTTGGGGACTGAGCAACAGATGATAAAAACAGTTGATTTGTGGGCCGGGCGCGGTGGCTCAAGCCTGTAATCCCAGCACTTTGGGAGGCCGAGGCAGGTGGATCATGAGGTCAAGAGATCGAGACCATCCTGGTCAACATGGTGAAACCCCGTCTCTACTAAAAATACAAAACATTAGCTGGGCATGGTGGCGCGTGCCTGTAATCCCAGCTACTCAGGAGGCTGAGGCAGGAGAATTGCCTGAACCCAGGAGGCGGAGGTTGCGGTGAGCCAAGATCGCACCATTGCACTCCAGCCTGGATAACGAGCGAAACTCCGTCTGAAAAAAAAAAAAAAAAAAAAAAAAAAAGCAGTTGATTTGTGTCTAAGAGTGATGTGGTAGGAAATCCTCCTTTATTTGATTTGATTTATTGATTTTTGTCAGGGAAGGGAGTGTCACTCTAGTGCCCAGGCTGGTGTGCAGTGGTGCCATCTTGGTTCACTGCAACCTCCACCTCCCCATCTCAAGCAACGGTCCTGCCTTAGCTGGGATTACAGGCGTGTACCACCACACTCGGCTGATTTTTGTCTTAACTAAAATATAAAAAATTAACCAGGCGTGGCGGCATGCACCTGTAGTCCCAACTACTCTGGAGACTGAGGTAGGAGAATTGCTTAAACCTAGGAGGCAGAAGTTGCAGTGGGCCAAGATTGCGCCTCCCAAGGTGCTGGGATTACAGGTATGAGCCACCGTGTGCTATTTGAAAGCAGTCAACAAAGCTCCAAGACCAGAGTCTACCTGAAGATGCCTTTGAATTGGTGGAAGTGCTCACATATGGTCCAGATCCATCTCTAGCTTGGCCAAGGCCCATTTGACTTGGCTTTATCTCCCACATACAGAAGAATGGAAAAGTCACATCACATGGGTGCTTATCTGCAGGCTAAGCTAAACATTAACAAAAAGAGACATCGTTGAAATAACATGAATGCTTCTGCCAACTGTCGGACTGCCAGCTCGTGGTCACTTATGTCCTGAGTGACCATGAAATGAGAGGTGCTCCTGAGAAGTCCCGGTCTGGTGTGCACCTCTTGGTATAGGCATCTGTCATTCATGTTTAGAGGAAGATTTCCTGGCCGGGCACAGTGGCTTATGCCTGTAATCCCAGCAGCTTGTGGGGGCTGAGGCAGGCAAATCACTTGAGGTCAAGAGTTTGATGCCGGGTGTAGTGGCTCACGCCTGTAATCCCAGCACTTTGGGAGGCCGAGGCGGGTGGATCACGAGGTCAAGAGATCGAGACCATCCTGGTGAACTTCGTGAAACCCCGTCTCTACTTAAAATACAAAAAATTAGCCGGGCATGGTGGCACGTGCCTGTAATCCCAGCTACTCAGGAGGCTGAGGCAGGAGAATTGCCTGAACCCAGGAGGCGGAGGTTGCGGTGAGCCGAGATCGCGCCATTGCACTCCAGCCTGAGTAGCAAGAGCGAAACTCTGTCTCAAAATAAAATAAAATAAAATAAAATAAAAAGAGTTTGAGACCAGCCTGGCCAACATGGTGAAACCTCATCTCTACTGAAAATTACAAAAAATATTAGCATAGTGGCCTGTGCCTGTAATCCCAGCTCTTTGGGAGACTGATGGAGGAGAATCTCTTGAACCCCGGAGGCAGAGGTTGCGGTGAGTGAGCTGTGATCATGCTATTGCACTCCAGTCTGGGCAAAAGTGTGAGACACCATCACAAAAAAAGACAAAGAAAAAAACAGCGCATGATCATGGGACCCTGGTTAGGATCCCTGAACCCCATGGTGACAGAAGGATGGTCACACCACTTTGTTTGGGGATCATATAGAGCTCTTTTTAAAGATGCTCTTTTGAAACCAAACAATAAACTTTTGATGATTCTGTTATATCATATTTTTTGGTAGAGATGGGGTCTTGCCATGTTGACCGGGCTGGTTCCAAACTCCTGGCTTCAAGAGATCCTCCTGCCTTAGCCTCCCAAAGTGCTGATTACAGGTGTGAGCACCTGCACCCACCCTCCCTCATATATTCTATTTTATTTTATTTAGAGGTGGAGTCTCGCTCCGTTGCCCAGGAGGGGGTGTACTGGTGAAAGCTCAGCTCACTGCAGTCTCTGCCTCCCAGGTTCAAGCGATTCTCCTGCCCCAGCCTCCCTAGTAGCTGGGATTATAGGTGCACACCACCACATCTGGCTAATTTTGGATTTTTAGTAGAGACGAGTTTCACCATGTTGGCCAGGCTGGTCTCAAACTCCTGACCTCAAGTGATCTCCTC